CCGTCCGTCCGCCCGTCTGTCCGTCCGTCCGTCCGTCCGTCCGTCCGTCTGTCCGTCCATCCACCCACCCATCCATTCATCCATCCGTCCATCCATCCATCGCTCATACACGCACATGAGTGCAACAGATGCCGCGTTATGTTGGTCTTCCAGTTCTGTCTGATACTATCTTACAGACTCCCCCCCCCCTCCTCTCTCTCTCTCTCTCTCGCTCTCTCGCTCTCTCTCTCTCTCTCTCTCTCTCTCTCTCTCTCTTTATTTCTTTCGTTCGCCCGTTCTCTCACTATCTCTCTCGTTTGCCCTTTCTTTCTCTCTCGCTCTCTCTCTCTCTCTCTCTATCTCTATCTCTCTCGTTCGCCCTGTCCCTCTCTCTATCTCGTCTAGCGGCATCGTTATGTTACCGCATCGTACGTGTACGGAATCCTGCGCTGTCGGCTCCGCTCCAAAGCTCATCCTCGAGAATTCCCGGGAGAGTCATGCTCCGCGTAACCCGGGCAGAAACGTAAACTAATGCGGCCGCTCGGGAAGCTTCGATCAGCAAAGCTGACGCAACTCGGGGACGAATGCGCAAGTGCATTTTGAGCGCATGAAATATTAACGCTCGATATTAGCGAGGAAGTGTGTAAATATTTAATGGCGGGAAAATGATAGGCAGAGCAAGGGATCAGCGCGTGCGGGAGACGTGAAGGTCAGAGGTAACGGAGGAAGAGAAGAATAGATAAGAAAGGGATGTAGTAGAAAGAAGTAGAGAGACAGCGCGCGCGAGAGAAAGAGAGAGAGCGAGAGCGAGAGAGAGAGAGAGAGAGAGAGAGAGAGAGAGAGAGAGAGAGCGCGCGCGGGAGAGAGGAGTTGTAGATGTATCCTATCAAGAGCGGATAATACCTGTAAGGTATTATCCGCTCTTGATCCTATGCCTATATACCTTTCTCTTGCGTGACTGTTCACGTGCTTCTGGAGATTGCCGGAGGTAGCACGTACATCTGTTGTATTCACATGTATCGCACACATACAGCTATACACACATATACGGCTTTTCTCTTGTATGAGTGCAAATTAAGTGTATCCAGAGGCTATTTGCTTCTGTATTCATTTACACGTATTAAATGTATACGACATATTCCTGTGTGAATCCGCACGTGTGAAATTAACACCCGCACGTGTTCACACTTACTAGGAAAAAAACGTGGGACCAAAAATAACTTTCCCTAGGCCTACAGTTAGATCACAAGCCGTCGCAAGGCAGTGATCGCGATGTAGAGAAACAAGTTTCGGAGCAGGGTGCCCGTGCTCGTTTTCTAGGGGGGTTCGTTTAATTGCTGGTCGCATGCCGAGGGCTATTGTTCCTGAACAAGCCACAAAGCGCAAGAAACAAGTTCGTGGTTTCGCGGCATTGGCTGTGGCTGACACATTTGGTTTTCGGTGCGCGGTACAAACTAGATACGGCGTGTATCTGTTCTTGGGAGTAGCACAGAAAGCGAAACATCTTATAAACGAGTAGCTATATAATTATTATGCTAAGAGCACTTGGCAGGGAACTCTACATTCTGATTAGCTGTCGATTTCCTACCGTTGTCCCTCTACGGGTTGTATTCAGGTATTTGAACCTTATAGTTATTCTGCGCTATGCTATACTTAGTGTTGTGTGTTAGATGTAAACAATTTCGAAAGTCTCTCTGGAAACATACGTTGAACATCGAATACACCGCTTACTGTCAGTGCGAATAGTTCGACTCTACGTGATAATGTCGCACGTAAAACTAGTTCAAAACTAGGGCGGGAAACGCTGCTAGATAAACGCGAGGTGCGTACGTAGTACACAAAACGAGAACCACGTAGGAAAATGGAGTCCGCGAGCCTTGTTTCTTCGGCGCAAGATAATAATTAACGTGACCATGGCTTAATTGGTGAGTGAGCGTATCATTTAAACGTGAATAGTAATTAATCTACAGCTCTCGAAAATTAATTAACGACTCGATTAATCTAATTAACAGATTCGATAGATTCTAAAGGGTTAACGACAGGATGTACGAGGCTCGAGGGGATTATGGTGTTGAATCATGGCGGGAATTAAGCTGCACCGTACGACACTACATGATGGTGGAGCGATCGATTAAACTAAAAAAAACAGAGGGCTTACTGGCCTGCCTTCAGTACTAACTAAGTTATACTATATTAAATTAAATTAATGTATATATTTATACTATATTATATATTATTATACGACTGCGATGCTCAATGGTTGAGTGCTCGCCTCGTATGTGGAAGGTCGGGTGTTCTACTCCCGGCCGGGTCATACCAAAGACTTGTAAAATGATACACACGTACGGCTTCTCTGCTTAGCATTCAGCAAATAGAGATAGAGTGTGGCAAGTTAACTCGCAGTGCTACAGTGGACTAACCCCCTACTGTAGCATTTACTGTGAAAGCAGCTGCGGGGCTTCAGGGTTACAGAAACGGAGATAGGCACCGCCCTATACGCCTGTAGCTATACGCTATGCGTATGAAGGCGCGGGAAGGATTTAACCATATATTTATACAGCAGCAACAACAATAAGGGCAAACTAAGGCAAGCGAGGGTAAGAGTGAACACATTTTGTACGTTTATAATTACATCATCAGAAAGTAATGTAATGCAGAAAAAACCTCCAAAAGTGGAATAATTGATTACAGTAGTATGGCGATTTTTTAATTTATCAGCCATATTGTATTACTATCATCATGCTATCATATGTATTTGGAGGAGGTATAGGCCTATATATGCACCAAGGCAAGCACAACAGTTTAGCAACGTAGCATAAATCATATTTAAAACCCCCTTTGTTACTCTCTGACATCACAGAAGTCACACAGAAACGTGGTTTATTTTGAAGTTCAAAATGACAAACGGGGATTCTTAAATTAAAAAATTGTTAATGAATTAAACTATAAATATGTCACAGGCACAAAGCCAAATGACAATTATCAGAATAACGTTTATTTCAACCCATACGAAAACGCAGCATAGCCAGAATTATTGTATGGTTGAACAACAATCTAATTACTGATACGATAAGGTTTGGGGTTTTAATTTAACTACATACTCACTATTTGTATAGACTATATATAACTGCGTGTCAAACGGAAATCACCCGACCAGCTAGTTCATCCTTGCGCCATCTACCAACAGCAATAGTAAAAAGCGATCTTTGGTAAAAAGTATAAATTGCCACGTGAGCATACATTTTAATTATAATATTATAAGCTATTGTAGAGAATATTATACAAAGCTAAATATGTGTAAACAGGGCGTCTACATATTTAATTGTAATTTAGCAGAAAGCATCGAAATACAATAATACCAGAGCATATAAATCACTATTATATACACACAGGTGATTTATGTGCTCTGATAATACTAAGCATTGGATGGAGTAGAGTCACTAGAGTGCACTGGCTGATTGGCTGATACCAGGTGTCACTACCATCCACGCGCTCGTGTTTCAAGGGTATCGTATCGTCACTATCGTGACCACTTAGCTGACGTATGTATTATTATTGCTGACGGTTATATTATATCAGTAGTACAGTACATATATAATAACATAATGTAATTATTTACAAATATGGTATTATCATATACAGCTCAGTGAGCGTGACAATGTGTTACATGATGCGTGTGCTGTGATATCTATCACCGTGACCATGCAGCGAGCTGTGCAACCAGGGGTATTTGTTTTTTTTATCCAGAATTCAGTCCTGTTATAGGCCTAATATATCACTATTACAATCATATAATGTAACCTCGATGTAGTCGGAAACAGTTATGCGTTTGGGCCGCTGATTAAAAGTTCTTTCCCGAAAACGTTAATCCAATAACCCAAGTTTTTTCGAGCCAACTTGAGTGTAGTATTGTAAAACTATAGGTTATTGGGACTGTGCAGTGGCGTGCGTGCGGTGACGTTTGTATAAGTTGTTGTCGTCAGCGTCAACATCGCTGCGTGCTAACGAAAATGCTCCATAACAAAGCATATGTTTTCGCTAACCATCCTTTAATATGTTACCACGAAATTTATCCATATCTTATAGAAACAAATATAGCTTATAGATAATATAGATTATAGATAGCTTAATCATAGAGCAAAGTACAAGTGACAGGAGGCTTTCTAAATTTAGTTTTCTCGCGGTAGTTGAGACATCCTGGCATGCACAGCAGTCATTGCTTACACTTTCCACTTATTGGAGTAGTCACCTATGAGATTAATACTATTAATACTGTTATTATTATTATTATTAGTATGAGATTATTCTGACGATTAACGCAGACGACAGCCGAGAGAGAGGTGAGCAAATTACAGTAATAAAACAGCATATCATGTTCTTTCTTGTGTTTATTATAGTCATTATCAATGTTCATAATCATAATTTCCCTCTGTTTTTCCTTCCTCTCGTCGGATGACTGTTTATGCTTCTTTGCCGAGGGCTCACAATTACGGAAACGCCACATCATTGTTATATGTAGCTCCTTGGTAACTACAACTCTCCACTTTGACAGCAGAGAGACATCGGGGACTTCTATGGGGGTCTGGGGGCCAGAACATTTTTGAAAATTATAAGCTCTGAGATGCAATCTAGAGCCATTTCAGGGTACTCCAATAGCTTGCAACTAGCAACACTTTTTGGTGGAAAAGGAAAAAAATTATGTAAAATTTACCTACTGTAATTGTAAAATTTTGATGGGCACTGGGGAATTCCGTCTGTTGTTCCAAAGTAAATTAAAAAGTAAAGTATTTTGTAGACATACAAGCTCTTACGTAGGGAAGCTTTTATTTAGCTACACCCTGTATAAAATGTATATAGTTTTTTCCAAACGTTAAAAACAATATGACACGGTTATCCCTGAGTGGTGCAACGAGGCTGTACTGCTGTTTGCATGACTAGTAAGTAATACAACGTGCTTTGCACCTACAGACTACAGTGACTTATGACATGTGTGTTAAAACTTGAGACAATTATTATTATTTACTGTATAATTCAACATGATATATTACCCAAATCTTCTTAATATTATTTTAAAACAGTATACTGATCGTTTGTAATAACTACCAGTGATACTTTATTGTTTACATCCAAACGTGAAATGCGCGGGGATGTGAGAATTACTCCACAACCTAGCGCACGTGAACAGTGAGCGTGCTGCACGACCCATGCAAGTAAATAAACCCTGGCCAACACAATGTAGGGTTCACTACCACTGGCCAAAAGTAAGCTCCACCCACTTCTTATCGATTTTTGGTATGCCAACGCTGCTACTGGATTCAGGAACCTGTGCTAACCTGTGGGTCCGAACATCCCACGCACGTTTCTTGAATGCCAACTAAAGTTGATTGCAGTGGGCGAACGCATTGTTTACATGTATGTCACGGTTTATTACGGATTAGTTTTCAAATAAATACCCCTGGAAGTTAATATGCATGAACAGATTTCTACAGGTAACAGTTTCTCAGTGCTTCGAATTTTCGGTGATCAAATAGCTGTAGGATCAGCGGGCCTATTTTATCAAGAAGCTGTACGCCCGGCATCGAAACTGTCGGCAGCGGGCCGACAGGCCGACGTGAATTTCGAACACTGGTATCCAAACATCGCCACAGCTAGCGTCACATGTAATAGCTCAAAAAAATCTATAAACCTCTGGCTTGCTCGCGGTAACTGGGCGCTACTGGGCGCTACTGAGTTATCGAGTTATGCCGTATTTTCTGAGATGAATTGGATGTAAACAACCAGAGAGCCGCCATGTTCGGTGCGACTAAAATTGGCAATCGACCTGATTTTCACAGTGCGTAGGCCTAAACACAAGGCAAGTACATATCTTCGCAATGATAATTATTAAGTTGTTCTAGATTGATGTTTCCTGGTTTTCAATGTTTTAATATTTATATATATACGAGTATATGATGCTTCTTTCTGCTCGCGCCAACGCGAGTTGCAACGCTATGGTATGTTATGTCGTTTCGGGTTTTCCGCGTTCCGATCGAAAGGCATGCGTAGTGGAAACATGGCGGTTGGTGGTTAAAGTGAAATTTAGGTTCGGCTCTTGAAATTTACACTGTGCACAGCGAACTAAGGTATTACTATTAGTTTTAATAACGACGCTTGAATACTATAAAGTATAACTATAAGATGAAGGTTATACTTAATAGTAAACAAGGCAGAAATGCTTAGATAATCATTTTATTTGAGATGTACGTAATTGTTCGATAGTTTTTGTAGAGGTACAAGATTTTCCAATGGATGGATACCAGGCTGTGTATATTGACGTTAGTCACACAGCCTGGTACTGGTAAGGTTACACTTACAGTCAGCACTGCCACTAGCCCGACCAGGCTGTGCGACGGATTGTCTATACATATTCTAACCCTAGCAATACCGTTTCTTGGAGCTACACTGCCACTGCCACTGGCACAGCCACAGGCACAGGCACAAAGCCAAATGACAATTATCAGAATAACGTTTATTTCAACCCATACGAAAACGCAGCATAGCTAGAATTATTGTATGGTTAAACAACAATCTAATTACTGATACGATAAGGTTTGGGGTTTTAATTGAACTACATAC